GCAGGCGCTTGGAAACGGGAGCACGAACGAGTGTTCTGGTCATCGAAGTTTCAGGAAGTAGCCCTCCTGGTACAGCTTGTTGGCGTGGCTGTTGAGGAAGGTGAAGATGGGCTGCAGCTCCGGGATGGTGTCTTCGTTGACATCCATGACCACCGGTTGGTAGGTCTGGACCATGGACAGCGGGCGAGAACTGTTGCGCTTGTGGCCGCGTGCTGGGGTTCCGGTATTTAAGGGTGAGGCGTTGGCAGGCGATGATGCATAATCGGAGCGGGCAGGCGATGTGGGCGTTGCGGGGCGGTGGTGGTTGTAGTTTTGGGCGTAGGCAGGGTTCGGCTGGGGGTAGGGTGCGGACTCGGAGCCTGGTATGGTGACGGGAGGCGGTGCGCCTGGTTTGCCGGCGAAGGCACCTTTAGGGTTGAAGTTTGTGTTGCCGTTGTTGGCGTCTGGGTTGGAGAAGGGAGAGTCGTTGCGCGGGGGCGACGAGTTGGGCGAGGGTGATTTTGTGTCCCGTCCAGAAAACTGGGACATGAACGAGAGGACTACAAAAGCGAGTGCGCGTGAGGAGTCAGTCCACTTGTCTTTGCTTGTCTGTGTCTCCAGAGCGAGGAACTCCCAAGCGGAAAGATGACGAGTGCCGGCAAGACAAGGCAAGGCAAGGCAAGGCGAGGGCAGGGCAGGGCAGGTAGGTTCTACGTAAAGCAAGCAGATCGAGCAACCTCCCCCCTCCCAGGTCCTAGGTATCTCCCCTAGAAGCGCCTAGGCGGTAGCAGCCCAACCGTCGGACAGGCAAGCAAGCCGAGCATAAAGCGTGCAATTTGGTCGAGTGATGCAGGACATTGGATCCGTGCCCAGTAATTGGCCCGAGAGCGTGTGGGGAGGGGCAAGCTGGGTGTGGAGCGGGGCTTGGAGGGAGAGCGACATGGAAGAGGAGATGGAAGGGGGAAGGCAACTGCTGCGTGTTGCAGGTGTCACCGTCGCGCTTGCGTAAACATCCACGCATTGTCCGACAGCGGCAGGGGGTTGGAGGGGGCAGGAGAAGACAGGTACATCCATCCGGCACTCCTTTCAGCGCAGCCAGCCCACTGAAAGCCGCCGGGGCCAAGGGGGTCTGGTGGGGTTGGATAGGGATCGATAGGGGAGGGGGTCGGGGGCGATCTCCCAGCGCATCGCATCGTATACGCAGTTCCTCGAACCACATCAGCCAAGCTGCAGTAGGGACGCAAGGCACCTGGAGATGGGCCGGCAGCGATCCTCCCGTATTCCAGGGTCGAGCGCCTGCCGCCTCCCTCGTAGATGCCAGGCATGGGCAGGTTACCTTGGCGGGCGGGAGTCTGCCCCGTGTACCAAGTAAGGTGAGACAGGACAAGTGAGGTAAGGTAGGGTAGGCAGGTAGGTAGGTGCATGCCCGAAAGACAGTGACGACACTGCAAGCTCATCAACACTAGGGCCTGCTGTGCTGCACGCGACCCGACAATCGTGATCTGCGACGCCCAGGCTGCTGGAACTAGTCGAACGATGCACGTCGGCGCCCAACCCATTTGGAGAGAGCGACTGGGAAAAAGATGGATAGAGTGGGAAGAAGAGACCGGGAGAGCGGAGAGGAATGCTGTTTGCACAAGCAGAAACAAGACGCCTCGGTGAAGCCAAGGCAGCACAAACAGTGACTAGAAACAGAACATACCTCGATTGCGGCCCATCGTGCCACGAGCTGGCCACGGCACGCGCTGCCCGGGTGGGTTTTGGCTCGACAAATCGTAGTCGCAGACGCAAACTTAGAAGAGGGCGAGGCCCCCGTCTGTCGTGAATAGGGGGGCAAGACCGTTCGGAATGCGGCTTCGGCTGCGGCTGCGAGGCTGTCCAGGAAGGGGATTTGCGTTTGGGTCCCGACGAATGTGTTGAAATGGGGAGGCGCTTACACCCAGTGTGTTGATCCAGGTCTGACCGACCACACAGGGTTCCTAGGACAAGAAACAATAACCTGGAATGCAGAATCCTGTCATGAATAGCGTGTGTGGCAGGGAGGGAGAAAAAAAAAGCTGCGAGAGAATAATGAAATGGGAGCGCTTAAGGGCCGAGAGACACAACAGGCATGAAATGGGAAATGTCGATGAACGCGTTCTCCTGTATCAACCCACGTCAGAAAACGCGCGGTG